TATTTTGCTGTTATAAACATATTTTATTACTGAGGATGAACATTTGTTTTTAATATGACTTTGTTTTTTAAGTGACCTATTTTTATCCATTGTTCATTTTCCTGTTGATTTGTTTGTTTTCTTTTTTTTTTTTTTTGAGACAGATTTTCGCTCTTGTTACCCAGGCTGGAGTGCAATGGCGCAATCTCGGCTCACTGCAACCGCCGCCTCCTGGGTTCAGGCAATTCTCCTGCCTCAGCCTCCCGAGTAGTTGGGATTACAGGCACGCGCCACCATGCCCAGCTAATTTTTTGTATTTTTAGTAGAGACGGGGTTTCACCATGTTGACCAGGATGGTCTCGATCTCTTGACCTTGTGATCCACCCGCCTCGGCCTCCCAAAGTGCTGGGATTACAGGCTTGAGCCACTGCGCCCGGCCCCTTGTTTGTTTTCTTTCATTATACAACTCACAGGAAATCATGAGGACAGGGATATGGTCGTTATTTACCATTCTATCCCCATACCAGCATGGTAGATACTGAAAGTGACTGAATTAATGGTTAGCTTCCGTGCATGTTGGTGTCTTCACCATATAGAAAGAATTTTTACATTTTAATGACTTCAAACCTGACAAATCTTGTCATATTTGGATACTAGGATTTGAGTTATGCTGAGGAATATTCTGTTTAATTTCTTTCCTGTTTTTTTTGGTATTTAGAAATTTATTCCAGAATTGTGTGTATGGTAGGGATTTGAGTTCTCCTTGTCTTCTTGCCTCTACCTCATATGGTTATTCTTTTACTTGACTTTTTTCCCTTTTCTTTATTCACAGACTTTGTGGTTTTCTTTCTGGCTACCTTCTCCCTTCTTGAAATGGCAGATAGAATTATGATCACCCTCTATGGGAAGATGAGCTATACAAATTGGCAGATTTTTAAAATGAACCTCTGTAAGTCCTTGGAAGTTGTCTGTCTCCGTTCAGAAGCTCTGTTTGCTTCTTTAGGCATGCCCTTGCCCTCTCTTGAGGGAAGAGGGCAGAGACACAGAAAACATGGTAGGGAACTAGGCGCAGTGGCTCACGCCTGTAGTTCCAGCTACTTGGGAAGCTGAGGCAGGAGGATCACGTGAGCCTAGGAGTTAAAGGCTACAAAGAGCTATGAGCATGCACACCACTGCACTCCAGTCTGGGTGACAGAGTGAGACCGTGCCTCAGAAAGACAGAAAGTGCCTTATTCATCTTGAATATCAACTGTGTGTTTTCAGTTTTATGAATGGAAAATTAAGTAAATAAAATTCTGTTCTACAATAGCTTGTGGTATGTTGTCTGTTCTGTTTATAGCAAAGTAAGGGTAATACCTTTTTGAATTAAGATAGATTTTATTATACAGTTTTACTGAAGTTGAGTTGGCATTCAAAAATTGGCATTTATAAAGTGAATAATGTATATATTTTGACTGTGTACACCTGTGAAACCGTCACCACTATCAAGAATGATCATATTCATCATTCCTGAAAGTTTGTGATCTTCCTTCCCCACCTATTCTGTTTATTCCTTCTTCTGAGCAACCACTGTTCTGCTTTCTGTAACTGTAGATTAGTTTGCATAAATGATTTTATACAGTATGTACGCTTTTTTCATGCAAATGGATACCTTGCCCTTTTTTTTTTTTTTTTTTTGATGATTTTGGACTGCTCTTATTCTCTATACTTATTTTGTAGCTCATCCATATTGTTTTGTTGGTTTTTAGTAGTTAATTCTTTTTTATTACTGAGTAGTAGTAGTCCATTGTGTGGCTACGCCAGCATTTGTTTATTTGTTCTCCTGTTTAACACATTTGGGCTCTTTTTAGTATCTGACTATTACAAATAAAGCTGCTGTGAACATTCCTCTTCGTATGGGCATAACTTTTATTTCCTAAAAATGGAATTCATCATATGGTAAATATATGTTTAACTTTTTAAAAAACTGAAACTGGTTTGCAAAGAGGTCTTGTTTTATATTCCTACTAGATGTTTTTGATCCATGCCCTCACCAACACAAGTCTTAAATTTAGCCATTCTTCTGGGTGTGTAGTGCTATCTTAGAGTGGTTTAAATTTGCATCTCCCTAATGACTGCCAATTTTGAGCATTTTTTCATGTGATTATTTGCCATCTGTTTATATCGTCTTTGGTGAAGTATCTGTTCAGATCTTTTACTCGTTTTGAAAATTATGTCTCTCTCTCTCTCTAAGACAGAGGCTCGCTTGGCTAATTTGTGTATTTTTAGTAGAGGTGGGGTTTCACCATATTGGCCAGGCTGGTCTTGAACGCCCGACCTTCAGTGATCTGCTGGTCCCGGCCATCCAAAGTGCTGGGATTACTTACATGAGCTTTTCTCTTTCTCTCTCTTTTTCTTTCTTTCTTCCTTTCTTACTCTCTTTCTTTTTTTTTTTTTTTTTTTGAGACAGAGTCTCATTCTGTCGCCTAGGCTGGAGTGCAGTGGTGCCATCTCAGATCGCTGCAACCTCCGCCTTCTGGGTTCAGGCGATTCTCTTGCCTCAGCCTCTATAGAAGCTGAGATTACAGGCGCCTGACACCACACCTGGCTAATGTTTTTTTTTTTGTTTTTTTTTTTTTTGAGACGGAGTTTCGCTCTTGTTACCCAGGCTGGAGTGCAATGGCGCGATCTCGGCTCACCGCAACCTCCGCTTCCTGAGTTCAGGCAATTCTCCTGCCTCAGCCTCCTGAGTAGCTGGGATTACAGGCATGCGCCACCATGCCCAGCTAATTTTTTCGATTTTTAGTAGAGACGAGGTTTCACCATGTTGACCAGGATGGTCTCGATCTCTTGACCTCGTGATCCACCTGCCTCGGCCTCCCAAAGTGCTGGGATTACAGGCTTGAGCCACCGTGCCCGGCAGTTTTTATATTTTTAGTAGAGATGGGATTTTGCCGTGTTGGCCAGGCTGGTCTTGAACTCCTGATTTCAAGTGAGCCACCCACCTTGGCCCCCCAAGGTGCCGAGATTGTAGGCGTGAGCCACTGTGACCTGCCATCATTGAGCTTTTTTGCTTTTTTGTATCTGTGAGTGAGTATAGAGTTTTCATCAAACATAGACATTTTCTGCTGGGGTTTGTGTGTGTGTGTAACAACTTGAGATACAATTCACACACTGTGAAGTTCATCCATTTAAAGTATAAATTCAGTGGATTTTGTATATACACAGAGTTGTGCCACATTTACCACTAGCAGAACATACTCATCATCCCAAAAAGGAACCCTATATTCATTAGCAGTCCTTCCTCTGACATTTAGGAACAAAATCTAGCCTCAGTTCTGTGTGAACTTGGGAATTGCTGCCTCAATAATCCGTTTGGGTGTTTTTTTCCACTCTGGCTCAGGCAGTTTCTCACATGCATGTACCGATCAATACTCTGTTGACAACTTGAGCTGGGCAGTGGGGACCTCTTCAGATCTCCCGACTTTTCTCTGTTCTCTTTTGTTCTCTGATGTTTTGCCTCTTGATTTCTAGTCACCCTGGCTTCTCTGGACTTTCCGTCTCCAGAACTCAGTTCGGAAGATCACTATGCCCTACCTGGGATTCCCTTCCTTGGGCTTCCTCTTGTAAATGCTGTCCAAACAGTAAGCTGAGACAGTTAGAGGGTCTACCTTGTTTGTTTCTCACCCTTCAGGAATGACTCTCCTGCATTGCTTGGTGTCTCATCTTGGAAATTTGCTGACTCATGTATATTATATGATATACATGAGTCAGCAAATACTTGTTTCAGGTGGCATGGTAAATTTAGTTCCTGTTACCACTATTTTGGTAAGAAGTCTCAAGGTTGCATTTTCAGCCAATAGAAAATCAGTTCTGAAAGACTGGTATGTTTTCATTACATTTGTTTCATTCTCTCTCAGATTAGATCCTGAACCATTAAGGAGATTATGGGGAAAGTTCTAAGATTATAGAAACCATTGAGAATTTATCAAGAAGAGCCAAAGTATAGATTTACTATTGCATTGAAAGATTTTATCCTGTTCTTAGTCACTGAATCTTATGCCTACTACTATTTGATTATAATAGTATGACTTAATATCTGAAGTGTTTTTACTTGTTAACATGTAATACATATAGTAAATTGTTTTACTTGTTAGCGTATAACACAAAACATAATACAAATTCTGCTTAGTTGTGTGGTTCTTGATTCAGTTATCACTTGGGTGCTCTGGTCTTTTTTTTTTTTTTTTTTGAGACAGAGTCTTGCACTGTTGCCTGGGCTGGAGTGCAGTGGCACAATCTCAGCTCACTGTAACCTCCGCCTCCTGGGTTCAAGCGATTCTCCTGCCTCAGCCTCCCGAGTAACTGGGATTACAGGCACGCGCCAACACCTCCGACTAATTTTTTATATTTTTAGTAGAGACAGGATTTCACTATGTTGGCCAGACCGGTCTCAAACTACTGACCTTGTGATCTGCCCATCTTGGCCTCCCAAAGTGTTGGGATTACAGGCGTGTGCCACCACGCCCAGCCTTGGTACCCTAGTCTTAAAACTCAGCTAAACTAATACCTTGTTTTCCTTTTAGTTTTTAGGCAAAATTCTTGTCTAAAGAATTTTCTGAAGATTATGAATAGCCTCTGAGATATTAGAATTTGTGATTTGTGTTATTTTGTGTAAGTCCAAACCAATCATGATGTTCAGATGTTGGATTTATCATTACTGTAAATTAATCATATTTCCCTCTCATATCTCAGATCATTTTAAAGGATAAATTCTTCTTGTGCTCCTAAAAATAAAGATGCAATCTAAGCAGTATTGGTACATTAACTTTTTATTTTAACCTGCTAAGTGAAGAGCTTATAACTTAATCATAGCATAGCAATGAATTGCCATAGAATAGGTAAGATTTCCTGTTAACCCCTTCTCACAAGTTTTTCGGTAATAATTTAAGTTACTCATAAAAACAGCTAAACCTTATTTGATCTACAGAACAAATTGTAGAGAAACTATATAATCTGCTCCTATCTTTTTTCTCTTACAGGAAAAGTAAGAAGCTTAAGTGCATCTTTGTGGTCACTAACTCATCTGACAGCTTTGCATTTGAGTGACAATTCCCTGTCCCGAATTCCTTCAGACATTGCTAAGCTTCACAATCTGGCATATTTGGACCTGTCATCTAATAAAATCCGTAGCTTACCCGCAGAACTCGGAAACATGGTATCACTCAGGTATGCAGATTCAACTTAATACGTACTAACTGTATAACCCCTAAAACAAAATACAGCATTCCTTGTGTCAGGAAACAAAACTGTTCATTTAATGATATTTGAGTAAAAGGGAATATAACTATATCCTTTATAACTTTATAGTTATGTTTTTGGGAACACTGAATTGTCAGCTAATAATAAATTAAGGTAGATCATTGCCTGAAATTTTAAATTGCTATATTTTGTGTAATATACTTTATTCTCAAATGAAAAAGTTTGGACAGAGAGGGGCTAAGGCACTTATTTTACCCCACATACTTACCCATGACAAATAGTTAGGGCACCATACCATCCTTCACACAGGGTCCAGGAAACCATTGCCAATTGGTGAAACCTTTTTTGCCTTCCCAGGGCTTGTGTGTTTGATAGTAGTAAAGCCTGGACTTGAAAGAGCTAGAATTAATTATTAAATTTGGGGGGGCTGTAGCATGAAATATGTAGCATTTGGAGTCACATATGAGTTCAGGTTGGAAACTTAACTTTGCCATTTACAAGTTGTGTGATCTTAGACAACCTACTTAACCCAGGATTAGGGATATTTGTGATAATGGGTAAAAACCACTGTCACTATGCCTGGCAAGGAATGGTAATTACTGACTGCACGTGGTGGTTCACATCTGTAATCCTAGGACTTTGAGAGGCTCAGGCGGGCTGATTACTTGATCCCAGGTGTTGGGCTTTGTGGCGGGCAACTGTAATCCCCACTACTTGGAAAGCTGAGGCAGAGGGATGCCTTGAGCCCAGGAGGTCAAGGTTGCAGTGAGCAGAGATCATGCCACTGCATGTCTCCACACTCCTCCTGCCTACCCCAATAAGAAAAAAAAAGAAATGGTAATTGCTATTTATAAAAAATGTGTTCTATTTTTATTTTGCTGGAGATGGAGGTCTCACTGTGTTGCCCAGGCAGCTCTTAAACTCCTAGTGTCTACCTTGGCGTCCCAGAGAATTGGGATTTCAGACGTGAGCCACTGTGGCTGGCCCATTATTATTATTATTATTGTTATTCCATTTTATAAGGTAGATAAGATCTAATCAAGTTAAATATAAAGCTAAATTCCATGTATTATGTTAATCCCAATGAAATATTTTGTGCTATTTCATGTTAACTGACTTTTCACCATGGTTTCTCTGGGGTTTTTTTTTTTTTTTGCTGCCTTCTGCCATTAGCCATGTAGTAAAAAGGGAATAAGGACCTTGTGAAAGGTCTGCCTCTGTTGCTCCTACTCCAGCCCTTTGAGGTTTTTCTAGGCTTAATTATCGAGTTTATTCTATGACTGTTTTTAGTCCTGTGAAACAAATTTACTTGAAGGATCTTCTTTTCTTTTCTTTCTTTCTTTTGGAAACGGAGTGTCGCTCTTGTCACCCAGGCTGGAGTGCATGGAGTGCAGTGGTGCGATCTGGACTCACTGCAGCCTCTGCCTCGGGTTCAAGCGATTCTAGCCTCCCAAGTAACTGGGATTACAGTCACCTGCCACCACTCCTGGCTGATTTTTGTATTTTTTAGAGAGACTGGATTTCACCATGTTGGCCAGGCTGGTCTCAAACTCCTGACTTCAAGTGATCCACCTTCTCGGCCTACCAGAGTGCTGGTATTATAGGCCTGAGCCGCTGTGCCCAGCTGAGGGACTTCTTTTTTCTGTGTATTACATTTGGAAATAAACAGGAGTCAGATATTCAGAACTAGCTCTTCTTGTTCATTTTACAGCCATACAGACCTCTGGCTTGCTCAGTAACCAAGGTTCATTTAAATGTCAAAACCCAAAGATTATAGAAATAGATTTCCTGCACACTTAAAAATTGACAAAACTTAATGTGTTACATTGCTAGTGTATCAGTATTTGGTCTCTGGTTGTTCTTTCCTTGCATGTCTCCCCCACTTGGAAGATTCCTTTGACATTTATGGTTATCTCTGCAAAACAAATTATTAAGAATAATCATGAATAGTTAATACAGCTGCTATTTTTTAAATGCAACTTTAGTTAATAGTAATCATAAGCTTAATTGTGCAGCTGCTATAAACTCTTGAGTCATTAACTAAATGGTCATTTTATTTCTCTTGTAAGAATTCACATGGTAGGCTGCTTTATCATTTTACTTTCTTAAGTGTGTAGTAGACCCCACATGTGATCAACCAGTGATACTCAGTGTGATCTGTGACCTGGTGCCAGTTTGCAAACTGTCTTGCCAGTCTGTGGTGAGAGTAATACAGCAATTGAATAATTTTATATGTCTGTTGAATCTAATACTTTAAAAAAATTAGAGTTTATATTTTATCCTTTTTCCCTTATTTTTCTAGTAATTTGCTTCTTGTATTCTCCGGCAGTTTTTTTGTTTTGTTTTGTTTTGTTTTGTTTTTAAACCACATGTAGTTTAAGAAACACTATACTAGACATTGGAATATAATATAACATTTTTTCATTCTTAGGTGCTTACATTCCTAGAAACTCTGTTGTTGATTTTAACTGCTAAAGGCTAACATGTTTTTCTGTCATACTGGAATTTTTGCATCAACAGGGAGCTCCATTTAAATAACAACCTGTTACGAGTTCTACCTTTTGAGCTGGGAAAACTGTTTCAGTTGCAGACTTTAGGCCTGAAAGGTATGACTTCTGTATTTGTTCTTATGGGTTATATATATGTCTTTGAATCTAAAGAAGCTGATAATCTTTCTACTAGGGAATTTTTTGAAAGACTTATTTTCCCCCAGACTTCGTCAGTTTCTTACTTACATCTCAGTGGTTTTATCTCTTCTCTGTTCAGCTGTAGACTATCTACTAGTCTTTGGTGTGTTTTTTTTTGTTTTTGTTTTTGTTTTTAGTCATCATGTTAATCATGTTAAGTGGCTATTTACCAGCCTTGGGTAGGTTTGTCTAGCCTACTTCAAAAAAGTCCCTGGATGAAGTTTTCAAGAATTACACTCACAGGCCAGGCATGGTGGTTCACACCTGTAATTGCAACACTTTGGGAGGCTGAGGTAGATGGATATCTTGAAGCCAGGCATTCAAGACCAGCATGAGCAACATGGCAAAACCCCATCTCTACCAAAAATAGAAAAGTCAGCTGGGCATGGTGGTTGCCACCTGTAATACCACCTACTTGGGAGGCTGAGGCACAAGAATTGCTTGAACCCAGGAAGCAGAGGTTGCAGTGAGCTGACATTGTGCCACTGCACTCCACCGAGTGACAGAGTGAGACCCTTTTTTTTTTTTTAAAAATAGGAATTGTACTCTTAGTTTCTTAAAAATACAGTTATATAAAAGGTTTTATTTCTGTAAATATTTCATATATCATAAATAACAGTATATTTTTTAAAAATAAAAAATACAAATATATGTTTTAAAATGTATGGAAAGTCATATTTAACACGTCAGTTTTGTAAATGGTTCTTTGGAAAGTTTTTTTCTGTGTGGGCTGAACTAGCTAGGGCTTCTACAAATAAGGGCCAGTGAAATGCAAGATGAAGATGCCCTTTTCTGTTATATTTCCCAGTCTAGCTGTTTCTAAATTTGAAGAACAGAAAAGTACTGTGTGGCAAAGTGTCCATAAAATGACTGCCAGAATTAACAGCGACTCTATCATTTTTGTGTATAATTTTTTTGTATGCAAAAGAAATAGAACATTATGGAATGCCGAGACCCTCTTTGTTCTTTCAGTACTCCTCATGGCAGAGGTAGTTACTGTTGTATGTTTTCCAATTTGAGGTTTTTATAATCTTACAATTTATAACCTATAATTCATACTCACTAAGGCTTTTCACATTAGGGTCACCAGTCACAAATTTGCTTTTTTTTTTTCCCCTTTGAGAGAAAGTCTCTGTTGCCCAGGCTGGAGTGCAGTGGCATGTTCTTGGCTCACTGGAACCTCCGCCTCCTGGGTTCAAGTGATTCTCCTGCCTTAGCCTCCTGAGTAGCTGAGGTGACAGGTGGCCATCATCATGCCCAGCTAATTTTTTTTTTTTTTTTGAGACAGAGTCTTGCTCTGTCACCCAGGCTGGAGTGCAGTGGCATGATCTCGGCTCACTGCAACCTCTGTGTCCCAGGTTCAAGTGATTCTCCTGCCTCAGCCTCCTGAGTAGCTGGGACTACAGGCATGTGCTACCACGCCCAGCCAAGTTTTTGTGTTTTTAGTAGAGACGGGGTTTCACCATTTTAGCCAGGATGGTCTCGACCTACTGACCTTGTGATCCACCCACCTTGGTCTCCCAAAGTGCTGAGATTACAGGCATGAGCCACCGCGCCTAGCCCAGTTTTTTGTATTTTTAGTAGAGATGAGGTTTCACCATGTTGGCTAGGCTGGTCTCAAACTCCTGACCTCAAATGATTCTCCTGTCTAGGCCTCCCAAAGTGCTGGGGTTAAGGAGTGAGCCATTGCATCTGGCCATAAATTTTCCTACTGATTTAATGTACATGAAAGCCTCTAAGTGTAAATGCCTGCAGGGGGAGGGAACTTCTTTATGACTCCTTACATTTTTGCTGATCCCCTTGCTCTTCCATTTTTCTTTCTTGGAAATACAGTTTCAAAGAGACATTTGTTTATCTCACATATCGTGTTGGACAGTGTTACATATCTGTAACGGCAGTCTGTTTTCACTGGTTTTACCTCCTTTGGACAAATCCTTCTATTTTTCTGAGCTTTTGCAGTTTATGCTTTAATTCTAATGTCGTGTCAGAACATTGGGTAGAATGATCCATTTTGGGGTAGATCTGCTACTTTACTTCTTAAAGTGATTATATCATCTTTGCCCTCTGAAAACTACCATTGCTTTCTCTGGGCATCTGTTTGGAAGAAAGAAAATATGTTCAGAGTCATGTCTGTTTGCAATTATACGTCATACATTCTTGCAGAACCAAAGTATTTCTGTCTCATGAATCAGTTCATACAATTTTCTTTGAAGTTGTTGCATAATGGCTGGCATTCTTCACTTTTTCCCCCCTCAGATTTTTTAATGTTCTTAAAAATTGTGCTACAGTGATACACTTAAAGGCAGGACTGTGACCTTAGGTGCTCATTCACTTTTTTTTTCTTAAACTGTTTATTTTGAGACATCTGTAGATTCACATGCATTTACAAGAAATAATGCACAACAGTCCTATCCTCTTTACCCAACTCCCTTTAATAGTAACATCTTTCAAAACTATAGTTTTACGTTGTCGTACACAGAACAGTCAAAATACAGAATATTTTGTGAAATAAGCCAGACACAAATATAACGATCTCACTTAAGTGTGAAGTCTTAAAAAGTCAAACTCATAGAAGTAGAGAGTAGAATGGTTGTTCTCAGAGGCTGGGGACAGGGGACAGAGTAGAAGGGAGAGATCTTGATCAGAGGGTACATAGTTACAGAGGAGGAATAGGTCTGGTGATCTGTTGCATAGCATAGTAGTTATAGTTAATAACAGTGTATAATTTTAAACAGCTAAAAGAATGGATTTTAAATGTCTTCACCACAAAGAAATAACTATTGGATACTCAGAAGGCTGGGGCAGGAGAATTTTGCTTGAACCTGGGAGGTTGAGGTTGTGGTGAGCGAAGATTGTGCCATTACACTCCAGCCTGGGCAACAAGAGTGAGACTCCATCTCAAAAAGAAAGAAAAGAAATAAGCATTCGAGGTGACGGATTTGTTGATTAGCCTGATTTGATCATTCCACTATGTATAACTATGTGGAAACATCACATTGTTCCCCATAAACATACTATTGTATGTCCATTTAAAAAAGGATGTAGACTGTTTCCATCACCAGAATGTCCTTTCATTGTACTTTTATACCTACTTTGTTCCTTCCCCAGCCCACTCCTTCTATAGTTGGGCTGTTTTAAGAATGTCACTGATGGCCGGGCGCGGTGGCTCAAGCCTGTAATCCCAGCACTTTGGGAGGCCAAGGCGGGTGGATCACGAGGTCGAGAGATCGAGACCATCCTGGTGAACATGGTGAAACCCCGTCTCTACTAAAAATACAAAACATTAGCCGGGCATGGTGGCACGTGCCTGTAATCCCAGCTACTCAGGAGGCTGAGGCAGGAGAATTGCCTGAACCCAGGAGGTGGAGGTTGCGGTGAGCCGAGATCGTGCCATTGCACTCCAGCCCGGGTAACAAGAGCGAAACTCCGTCTCAAAAAAAAAAGAATGTCACTGAATGGAATCATACTCCGCAGTCTTTTGAAATTGGCTTTTCCACTCAGGTTAATTATTTGGATATTTATCCTATATAGATGAGAGGAGTAGTCTGTGACATAAATGTCTCCTGGTTTATTTAACCATTTACCTGCTGGAGGGCATCTGGGTGGTATCTTATTTGGGGCTGTTACAAATAAAGCTACTGTGAACATTCAATGTACAAGTTATTTTGTGAAAATTTGTCTTCATTTCTCTGGGATAAATATCCAGGAATGCAATTGCTGGGTCATTTGAGGGTTATGTTTTTAATTTTTTAAGTAATTGCTAAATGGTTTTCTATAGTGTCAGTACTGTTCAACATTCTAACCAGCACTTTCTCTGCATCCTCATCAACATTTGGTGGTGTCACTATTTTTATGTTAGCCATTCTGGTAGATGTGTAGTCATCTCATGGTTTTGATTTATAGTTCCCCGACGGCTGAAGACATCCAACATCTTTGCAGGTTCTTATTTGTTATCTGTAATATTTTTCTTCTGTGACATTTCTTGTCTTGTTTGCTTTTTTATTGGGAGTCCTTTTATATTCTGGATATGAGTCCTTGGTGGGATACGTGGTTTGCACATATTTCTCTCAGTGTGTAGCTTTTAAAAAGGTCATTGCATAGCAGAATTTTTCAATTTTAATAAAGCCCAATTTATCAGTTTTTTTTTTCTATGGATCCTGATTTTTGTTTCAAGTTAAGAATTCTGAAGAGCTCTAAATCCCAAAAATTTTTCTCTTAGTTTTTTTTTTTTTTTTAAAGTTTTATGGTCTTAATGTTTTACATTTAAGTCTCTGATCCATTCGGATTTAAGATTAAGTTTAGCTCAAGGTTCTTTTTGCGCGTGCGTGGCCTGGATGTCCAGTTGCTCCAGCAGCATTATTCAAATACGATCTTACCTCCATCGGAGTGCTTTTGCATCTTTGGCAAAAATCAGTTGAGCATATCTGTGTGACTCTGTTTCTGGATTTTTCATTGTTTCATTAATCTACGTGTCCATCCTTCTGCCAACATCTGTAACTACCAATTCTGAGACACTAAGAAGGAATTGGCTCTTTGCCTGAGCCTCAGAAAGGGGCAGCCATGCGTGGCCACAGGGAACACACTCAAGGCAGCTGGGGTCTAGTGACCAGGCACTTTTCTTAGGATATAGTCCACAGAGAAGAGGAAAGAGATGTTCTTTAGTCTCAGAGACCAAGACAGATGCATGGGAGGAGAAGGAGATGGTGAAAACCTGGATAACTGGAGGCACGATGAGTGGAGAGGCTGAGACAGGATCCATGCAGTGGGAGGAGGCCCCCGTGGATGGAGAGACAGGATCCATGCAGTGGGAGGAGGCCCCCGTGGATGGGCAGTTGGGGCTGACTGGACTGGGGCCCCTGCTCCTCACAATGAGGCCTAAAGCTACGGCCTCGTATCCAGTGCTGTCCAGTGTTGCCCAG